ATCGCAAAGCCCAAGGCCACCAATCAGCTTGGACCTTGGCATGGTGCAAGACTCGCCTGATCTGAGTCTTGATGGCTTTGACGGCCACTTCTGCACGGCCGTTGGCTCTGGGGTCATCGCCAGCAGTGCGACTCAAAATGATGCCTCTTGATGATGCCCATCTTCTAAACGATCCAGAAAACTCGTGGCCTCTGTCGGTGTGGATCTTGGCGACTGTAAATCCATCGGCCTTCAACTTCATGAGCATGTCCATGGTAGTGGATGAAACTTCCCTCGCAGTTTTGGTGGTCATGGGAAGTGCCAGACGAAAAATTCGAACTTCCGTTTTTTCTTCTAAATCTTCCCTTCTTTCCTCATCTCTCTGCTCCCCCTGACCTTCTTCGACCTGCACTTCTGCCTCCTCTTTTTCTTCCGCTTCTGCTCCTCTAGCTTCTTCTATAGCTGGTTCTTCTCCTTGGAGTTCTTCATCTGGTGGCTGGCGCATTTTGTCAGAGTCTTTTGGAACACGCCACACCAAAACGCCAGTCAAAAACCAACGTGCCATGTGTCCTCCAAGGTCATATGCTGGTGTGAAAGGACCAGCCACATCCAGAGACAAAGTGCCAGTTTGAAGATGCCGGGCTCGGCGATGAGGTTCTTGTTGTTGAAGGGTTTCCTGACATGTCTTGCAGTCTTTGCGATAGGGAACGTGGCCAAATCTGATGTGATCCTCCCAAGACATAGGAGCAATCCTTGCATGTGATTGCATGGTCTGTTCTTTGATGGCCACAGCTAACATCCGCATCAGACCAGGTGGCCACCGAGCAAGATCTTTTGACGATCGAACTCCCCCAGGACAAACAGAACCTTTGATTTGAAAATCTTCTGGAACCAAATCAAGTGAAGTTCCCAAGGTGGTGGGTTTCGTGGCTTCCCCACCCAAACTCTTTTGTGTGAAGTGCGTCTCCTTCAACTCAAACTCCTTTCTAATCTCATGCCATTCCCATTGATCCCACAATGAGACGACTTCAGGCTTGTAGTCTCGTGGTGAAGATGGCTGCTCAAGCACAAAAGCCAGTGGATGATCATGCCCTCGAGCTCGTCGAGCATATGTTGCAATCATGAAAAGAAAAATTTGACGCCACAAAAGGATGTCATCCTCTTCTACCATTTTCTTCTCTTTTTCACTCAAATCTTTCTTCCCATACTCCTCTCCTTTCCACGCTCTGACAGGCCGAGGTGCAGTGTCACATCCAGGAATCTCATAGTGCCTCAAGACACTGCGAGATCGGCAGTTTGGTCCGCCCGCAATTCCCAAGATCTTGCCCTGGATGGCTGCAGTGATCAAAGACGCGTAGATGCCATCATCAGGAATCATGTCATGTTGACTTCCTCTTTTGACATCTACTTCCAAAAGAATTCTTTCTTCTCCCGTACACTGTTTCCAGGCCTTTCCAAACGTGAAGCCTGAATCTTCTCCAGCGTAGAGATGTAGAAGCAGTCCATCTCTTTGCATAGCCCTCCTCCATCTCCGATTGCAAGGAAGACCATTCCATGCAAGTCGCTCTTTGGTGTGATCCGGTAGTTGAGAGAGAACAGGATGGGCTTTGACCATGGCTTGCAGCCACTGAATTCATCGCTCATCTCAAGACCTCTCTTCAAACCTTGATTTGCATCTTCCAACTCTGAGATCAGGTCCAAAGCCAGTTGACGACTGACTTGAGGGCAGCCATTGTGCTGCGAAACTTTCAGATCACCTCGTAGTGGATGTCGTATGGAGAGCTTTCCATCCTTCCATGCAATCTCGCACCCAAGAACTTCTGCAAGAGGACCCATCGGAACTATCGGTTCCACCATTGGGTCAGGAGAGATCATCGCTCTTCCAGGTGACATCTTCAATTGAATCCTTCTTCCATCTGCCAAAGAGACTCCCACGACTGGGAAGCCAGCTGTCACCTCTCCGTTTTTCTGTGGTCGAAGAGGATGTGTCGCACCAGAGTCAATGAGACCAGCTTGATCTCCTGTCGCCATCTTTCGAAGCCTGAGAACTTTTTGTTTCTGCCTCAGGGAGTTCAACTGCTGTTGAAGTCTTTCCATCAAATCTTCTTTTCCTTCTGAGTCCTTGGCAGATCCAGAGCTGGCAGAAGACGCCGATGAAGATGGAGCTCCTGAGATGCTTTTCAGCACCTTACTCGCCTCATCTATCAAGTCTTTCATAGCGGAATCTTGTGTCGATGCCGCTGCTTCTTCAAATTCTTTCTTGCCTCCAACCTTCTCTTCCTCAGTCTTCAGCTGCTTCGCTTTTGGGGCAGACTTTTCTGGGGAGGTTGAAGACGATTTCGGTCGTGTGCAGCTTGGTGCTAAGATGTGCTAAGTGTTGTGAGCTGCCGCACACGTAGCATCTCCTCAATTCGTCTCGCTGTTCATGCGACCACGTACACTCGCGGCCTTTTCTGCATCCACCTTCAGTCAGGTAATACCTGCATTTCTGTCTGGACTTCTCTTCATCATTCTTTTCTCTGTCTCTTCCCTTTCCCTTGCCCTTCTCTGCTGCCTCTGCCTCCATGTTCTTCAGCTTCGGAAGTTCTACCTCCTTCTTCGCCGTTGTGGTTATTGATCTCTTGTCAGTCATCGCACATTGTTCAAGTTCAGCAAGAAGATGTGCTGCAAGTTGGTCCACCGAAGATGAAGTTGGAGTTGTGTCCACCGACAGGGTGTTCCGGACAAGAGAGACACGGAACTGGATGTCGCGATGCGATTCGAGCACCCGACGAGTCATCTTGTTGAGGCCTTTGAGCAACAAAGCTGGGTCCGGCTCCACAGCGCCGACTTCTTTGGCACGACGGCGCCATCTCATCCATTTGCGGATCGCTCCAGGTGCTTCTTGGACTGAGGCGATCTCTGCCGGGTCCTCCAAGCTTTTGAGCAGGGTCTGTTTCTCAGCCACACCACCTGGTGAGTAAGTGGTGTACAAGTATGTGAGCACCCCAAAAACATCCATTCTTCTTGCTGCCACCAGTTCTTCGCGACAAGATTCTGGGATGGCCTTCATGATCATAGTTGAAACGCGCCTTTCCAATCGCTGCCAACGAGGTTGTTGAAGAGGAGCAGGGGCAGCAAAGCCATGATTCAGTCGATCAAGGGGGCTCAATGAAACATGCCGCTGATACCAAGCTTCCACCTCCTGTGTCATGATTTCCCACCACTCTTGAGAAGATGTGGTGAGGTCAGAGATGATGGGATTCAAGAGCAACATCCAATCACCAAGTTGAAGTGGCCCAGTTCCAGACGTCCAAGGCATCAGATCGGGCAAATCTGGAGCACCCGAGCGAACCACCTCCACTCCCATCACCGCTCCTTCATCATTCTTTCCATCGCTGATCTTCTGCTGCAGGTCTCTCATCGACTGCATCATCAGGAACATGAATTCCATAGTCTTTGAGTTGAAGTCTTCTTCTCGACTTCTTTCTTGTTGGCCTCTGGGCCCATCCTCAAATCTTTCACCTTTCTTCCAAGCTTCGCCACAATCACCATTTGAACTTTCAATCTTTGGGGGTCTCACAGCCTCCTGGAAACCTTGCTGGCCAACTGACCCGTCCTCTTTTGGTGGTCTCGCAGCCTCAGGGAAAACTTGCTGGCCAACTGACCCGTCCTCTTTTGGGGGTCTTGCAGCCTCAAGGAAAACTTGCTGGCCAACTGACCCGTCCTCTTTTGGGGGTCTTGCAGCCTCAGGGAAAACTTGCTGGCCAACTGACCCATCCTCTTTTGGGGGTCTCGCAGCCTCCTTACTGAAAACCCTCTCCAGATTCATCCCTTGCAAACGAGTGGTGTCTATGCCAAAACTTCGCTCAGCGACCACTTCCGCCCTTGGAGATGCTATCAGGAGTTGCAAAACGCGCCTCAGGTTCTGCAGGTTGTGATTCTACAGCTAGAATCCTTTCTTTCAACTTCTGATTCTCATTCAGGACAGAGACCAAAAGTCGTTTGATCTCTTCTCTTTCACTTTGTTCTACAACCATTCTATTCTGCAACATCGCCAACTGCCTATCCCTTTCCAAAAGCTCTTCGTTGAACCTTCTTTCTTCAGATTCCAAGAACCCTGGTCTCGGGATCGACGGCGTGAATCCTGTCCCTGTCATGCCATACAGCCATGGAGTTCGCTGCTGAAGCTGGGTCATTTGCTGGACTTGTTCAGGAGAAAAAAGAGGAGTATAGGCCATTTCAAATTCTGATTTCTTCACATCTGGAGGGGTTGCAGCTAAGCCATTGGGAGAGGAATTTGCGGAGCCTCTCACACTAGGATCTTGGACCCTTTCTTTCCTTTCTAAACCCTGGTTTCCACCCTCTCCTGTCCTCTTCTCTTCACTTTGCCTTGCCGTCAAAGCTGGAGTCGGCCTTTCTGATGCCGATGCACTCTTCGAAAAGCTCTGAGGTGGCTGTGAAGGCGGCGGAGTGGCTGGAACTGCTGGACGGAGGGAGACAGGCTGACCTTGTGGTTGGTCAGGAGTAGCACTACTCAAAACCAAAACACCTTCACCTTTCTTCACCTCATCCTCTAAACCACTAGCTGCTTCATCCCTTTCTTCTATCTTTTCATCTTCTATGGCCTCTTCACCCCTTTGTTTACTTTCTTCTTCCATTCGTTTTTGAGCTAACTGCATCTCCTGCATTCCTTGTTCCATCTCCTTTTGAGTTGCCCTTCTTCTGATGTTTAAAGACATTGCGCAGGAGCCTTTCACCTTGGGCTCATAACCTGGTTTCACCCAGGCTATGACCCACACAGCAACGCGACCTCCTTTTTCTAATCTGCTGCTGGTTCTGGGCGTTGATCCAAAGGGCAGCTTATGGATTGGCCCTTCGAAATGTTTCCAAAATGAAATCTGCAAATGAAAAATGTTGATATGCAAAATGCAACTGACATGTGAAGTGCAACTGTCATGGAATGCTGCAGTCAACATCCATAACTACCATCTATTTTGGTGTTCACCAGGGTCACCAGGGTAGGTTCCGAGAATCCCAACAGCATAGTTCGCGGCGAAGACCTGCTTGACTTGTTGGATCAAACGGAGATGTTTGCTCAGAACCATGCTTCACAGAACTTGAAGCATCCATACTTTTGAAACAATATATTAATATAGCCTTCCACACAAGTCCAAGGTTTGCTTTTTCCGAGATTCTGACCCTTTTGTAAAAAAATCTGAAAATTGCCCGATTTGGGGCAAACTTATGTACAGCTACACATGCGCAAGTGAGCACAGGACGTCTCCCCCAACCTTATGATAGACAGGGATGTTTCTTCCATACCCCGGGCTGCAAATCATTTGCACAACCCAATGATCGTGCAAGTATCTGGACTTTCGAGTTCCCCCTTCGAAATCCCATCGGTGAAATCTCCTAAAATCTCCATGTTTTCTGAGCAAAATTGGCGAAATCTTCATGTTTCTCGCTGAAATACCTAGCTTTTCACCGTTCATCCCTTGCGGCTCGCGGCCCGGCGCGCCTTTGCTTCCTCAGGGGAATGGATCGGAATCTCCACTGATCGCCGGCCAGGCTGATCCAGCTGCACCTCCTCCAACACGAAAGGACGTTCTCTGGGCCCGGGCCGGGGAACATCGATCTGTTCCAGGCCCACCTTAGGAGCGCAGGTCGCGGTTCATTGAACGTTCAGGCCGTTAAGGCCATTAAGGCCGTTAAGGGTGTTCCACCAGGAAACTTGGAACGATCCTGGGATAAACCGTGTTTCATAGTGTTTCACTTGGCAGAACTGCCAGCAGTTGCAGACAGTTCACTATGCAGACATGGCGGAATTCTGCAGGAACGATTCATGCATCGTTTTCTCACGGTTCACCTGGTCATTGACTTGCGTTCGAGAACTGCCCATGTGTGAGCAGATCTCTGCAAGAAAGCCTTTGATGCATGCTCAAACAAGGGGCATCAAAAATTTGATGTTGTTTAGCCGTTTACGGCCCAGTTTAGTGATGCTTTGTATGTTGATACTCACAAATTATCATGGTTTATAATCTTCCCCATTAAAACAGCCACTTCGGGTCTACCTCATTTTCAGATAAACCCATAGCATGGTATCAAGTTGGTTATCTATCCCATTCTATCCCATGGTAATCCCATCCTTATCCCCATTATGGTTGGCTATATCACCACTTTCCCATATAAAGTATGATAAAATATGTACCCTCCGCTAATCAAACGTGGCTCACTGGAGAATCCTCTTCGAATGGAGGCTTTCATAGGAAAAATCGAAAAATCATCGAGCTCAACGGGGGATGGTCGGATTGTCCAGCCATGGTTGATTACCGGTCCCCAGTTCAGGAAATTCTGAGTCTGGAACGGGAGGTGCCTGAAAGTCATCCATTGGATCTTTGAAGACCTGAAAAATGCAAAAGTGCTGCGGAGACTGAAGAGTAGTCGCAGGGGACAGTCAAAGGCTGCAAACTGGTGAAAACATCTGTAAACGGAGGGGGTAATAGAATCAGGATATTTCAGGGAAATATCATGGAATAAATTCAGAGGGATATTCGGATATTGGTTCTTAATTAGTGAATACCCTCTGAATTGCCCAGTTTCACTGGTTTCTTGAATGATTTTTCCATATTTTTCCTCCAGTTCTTTCAGCCCCGCCTGCAATGCCGGATCCTCTCGCCCCAGTAGCTCCGGAATCTCGCCATCCAGCGGAGCCGACCGCTGATCGTCGTTGAAGAAGTCAAGGGCCGAGGTTCGAATCCGCCTGGGGCCGGCTGGCGAATTCATCACACTTGGGGTGGGAAAAAATCCTTCAAAAGCAGCCACTGTAGAAGATGGACAAACTTCAACACCCAAAAAACAGCACGTCCAGGGCATGAGATGCAGTGACAACATATAGAATGGCCATAGGCTCCCTTGGTCATAGCTTGGAATGATTTCTAAACATTGCACTTGCGCTATGAGCACCATTGAAAGTCAAAAACTAGCACTTCCTGGGCCATCGAGAGTCACAAGCAAAATCCTCTGCACGAGACTCTTACAAGACTCACAAGACATCATGTGTCATGATGTCCCAGTCAACACCTGTTGTTTACTCTATTCATGTTGGTCACTCAGAGCTGGACCCCTTGCGCAAGAAAAGCTGCTCCTCCGCAGTTCGGGGAGATATTGAAATGGATCATTTTCAGACCTGTCCTGCCACTTCGGGGAATCGAAGAAAAAGATTGGGGATATGATCTTAAGAAAATTTCACACGTCAAAAATAAAGGACTCCTCGCAAAATCATTGAGGAATCGCATGGCTTTAGGGTGTCGCAAGTTGGGACCTATCCTCTGAGAGATTTTGCTGCAGCAGCTTGTCCTGGCCCAAGCACGGCAGCCCAAGTTTCCTGGCAATGGCCAGCGGCCAAAATTGCAAAGCTCCGTGTGTCTCCACACAGCTAGCCCTACCAACATGGCAAGCCAGCAGAAAGTTGAGAATGAGGTCCAAGCAAACCCACTTGTGTCTGAAAATGTGCATGGGGCAAACCAATTCTTTGGTCATTTTAATGGGAAAATGATCAACATCCAGTGATATCCTATGCGGTAGTCTCTGGTACCCACGCCAAGAAAACCCTTCAGGCTCCTGAGTCTGGCTGAAGCTTTGGTGCAGGCCTCGAGTTCTTCCTGTCCGGGTTTAAGAAAAGGAAACCAGATTCAATAGACTCAAGGCGATTTGTCGTCAGACTCCAGAAACAATGAATGATATGGGAGGTTCACCTGTGCCAGTTTCTCTGCAGTGCGGCAAATCCAAATACCAAGCTCTTGTTGTTGCAAAACATGACCGATGCAAAACGCAGGATGAGTCAGCATGAGCCATGAAAACTTGAGGCCGGGGGTGGATGACGAAAGCTAGCGGGGTAGGAGGAAGAAGGAAGGGAAGACGTAGCTTCAGTGTCAGCAGGGAAATGTCGGTGGCGTTTCCGCGTCAAACCCTAAGTGAGGATGCTGACCCTCTACCAGCCGGAAATCTCCTCTCGGGAAGGCTCGGGGGGGACCAGGGGGGGATCGAACCTAATGCCGATGATGACGATGATGATGAGGATGGTGATGATGATGATGATGATGATGAGGAGGAGGAGGATGATGATGATGATGATGATAACAAAGTTGATGACGATGACAATGACGCTGACACTGACAACGACGATGACGGCTGAAAATGACAATGACGGTGACGATGACAATGACGATGAAGATGACAATGGCGAAGACAATGACACTGACAATGACGATGACAATGACGATGATGATGATGATGGTGATGATGATGACGATGATGATGATGATGACGATGATGGAGATGATCACGATGACGAGAACGATGCCAATGACCATGACGATGACGAAACCGATGACGATGACGATGACGATGATGACGATGATGACGATGATGCTGATGATGGTGATGGTGGTGGGGTTGGGGGGGGACCTTTCGCGTGAAAAATCACGTGATGTCCTTGAGCAGCCCCTGGAATACTTGCTAAAGCAAGAAGACTCCAGCTAGCTGACGCTAGCTTTCGTGACATGCGAACAAAGCAGCAAGCTTTCCACAACAACTCAGGAAGTCAAGTCTCCGCCAAGAAACAGGGAGGTATGTGGCATGATGGCCACGATGATAGCTAAATATGTATATATATATACACATATATATATATCAGATACATAACTTTGCTTACAGTTATAAGAATCTTAGTCAGCCAGGGAATGGCAAACCCAAAAAAGATATTTTGTCGTTGGAACCTTCCTATATTCATCGTTTGATTTATCCTGGGATTTATCCTCTGTTTTTTGCCTTCCTAAATTCATCATTGGATTTATCCTGGGATTTATCACCTGCGTTTTGGATTCCTAACTTCATCTTTGGATTTATCCTGGGATTTATCCTCTACTGTTTGCCATCCTAAATTCATCCTAGAATCCGTCCTAGGATTTCTTCCAGGGCTGTTGCCCCTGCCGCCGACCCCAGGAAACCAGGGATACGTAAAGGCATGGCATAGATAGACAGTCCATCAAAACATCTACAGCGAGGTCTAATCAAACCTAATCTATTCGAAGTTTTTTTTTTTTGCAAGCCTACATTTAACATAGTAACCTTCCTGAATCCATCCTGGGATTTGTCATTGTTTTTTGCCAAAGGTTTCTGTTTGCTCTCCTATAAGTCGCGGGTCTTAATCTCGATGTCATCTTGGTCCAAAGAAGCTAGTTTAATCTCTATGTCATTTGAGTAAACTTAGCGACAATATCTATGTCACATCATGCCCCTCCAATTCCATCGGAGAGTATCCGATAAACTCATAAACCCATGTTCCAAAAGGATTCAAGCCACATGGATGGCTGACTTTTTGATTAGCTAGGGTGATTTGTGGACACTTGTAGGATTAGGGTGGTATCTAGGATGATTTTGGGTAGCCTTTCTGGGACATGTTGGGAAAATGATGATTTCTAGGATGATTCCGGGTGACTTTTCTGGGACATGCTGAAAAATGATGCTTTCTACGATGATTTTGGGTAGCATTCCTGGGAATCGTTGAAAACATGATGATTTCCACGATGATTTCGACGATGATTTTTCGATGATTTTGGGACAGCTTTCAAACGATAAAAAAATGATAAAACTGCGGGAAATTATCATTTTTTTATCGTTTGAATCATCGTTTATATCATCGTTCTTGGGATGTTCCCTTCGTTTCCTCAAAAATGCTCCAAAATGAAGAAAATGATGATTTCGACGATGATTTTTCGATGATTTTGGGACAGCTTTCAAACGATAAAAAAATGATAAAACTGCGGGAAATTATCATGTTTTTATCGTTTGAATCATCGTTTAAATCATCGTTCTTGGGATGTTCCCTTCGTTTTCCTCAAAAATGCTCCAAAATGAAGAAAATGATGATTTCGACGATGATTTTTCGATGATTTTGGGACAGCTTTCAAACGATAAAAAAATGATAAAACTGCGGGAAATTATCATTTTTTTATCGTTTGAATCATCGTTTAAATCATCGTTCTTGGGATGTTCCCTTCGTTTTCCTCAAAAATGCTCCAAAATGGAGAAAATGATGATTTCGACGATGATTTTTCGATGATTTTGGGACAGCTTTCAAACGATAAAAAAAAAGATAAAACTGCGGGAAATTATCATTTTTTTATCGTTTGAATCATCGTTGAAATCATCGTTTTTGGGATGTTCCCTTCGTTTCCTCAAAAATGCTCCAAAATGAAGAAAATGATGATTTCGACGATGATTTTTCGATGATTTTGGGACAGCTTTCAAACGATAAAAAAATGATAAAACTGCGGGAAATTATCATTTTTTTATCGTTTGAATCATCGTTTAAATCATCGTTCTTGGGATGTTCCCTTCGTTTTCCTCAAAAATGCTCCAAAATGGAGAAAATTATGATTTCGACGATGATTTTTCGATGATTTTGGGACAGCTTTCAAACGATAAAAAAATGATAAAACTGCGGGAAATTATCATTTTTTTATCGTTTGAATCATCGTTTATATCATCGTTCTTGGGATGTTCCCTTCGTTTTCCTCAAAAATGCTCCAAAATGGAGAAAATGATGATTTCGACGATGATTTTTCGATGATTTTGGGACAGCTTTCAAACGATAAAAAAATGATAAAACTGCGGGAAATTATCATTTTTTTATCGTTTGAATCATCGTTTAAATCATCGTTCTTTGGATGCTCCCTTCGTTTTCCTCAAAAATGCTCCAAAATGGAGAAAATGATGATTTCGACGATGATTTTTCGATGTTTTTGGGACAGCTTTCAAACGATAAAAAAAAAGATAAAACTGCGAGAAATTATCATTTTTTTATGGTTTGAATCATCGTTTAAATCATCGTTTTTGGGATGTTCCCTTCGTTTTCCTTAAAAATGCTTCAAAATGATTGAAAAAGTGGCAAGCCACTGGAAATGTGGAGAAAATAATGATTTCTACGATGATTTAAAATATGATTATTTTTGTGATTTTGGAAACTTCTCTGCGGGGCGCCAATATAAAAC